TTGTGCAGAGTGTAGGAGTTCGTGCCATGCGGATCGTATGGACACCTCGCATCAACTAAATAGTTGCTGTAGCAATCCGGAGCATCTCCACAGATCTCATAGCTGAAATGCGCTGTTGATCCGTTAAATACGCGGCTGGGAATCTTGTAGACGCACTCGCTGCTGACATAACACCATGGGAGGTGACACCAGTTGTAGTCAGGGCTCGAAAAGTTGGACCCGGGCTGACAATGGCTAGCCATGGGCATGTCTGGCATGTAGTCCCACACAGCGCACGAGGTCCCATAGGCACCGATGTTGGCGAGGTGCATAAATTGACCCGGTGCCTGCAGGGGTGGCCAGTCTAGACAGCACCTCAAGACACTAGCTGCAGGCGTCCGAAGGAGAGGTCCATCAACGAATCTTCTGTTCCAAGTTGAAAATGCTCTCATAAGACCCATGCACTTGCCGCCCTACACACTCTTCGGCCGAATCGGCCCCGCCCATCACCGCCCCAAAACTACTTAACCAACGTCCACCAACTAGCCCTGTATTCGTAAAATGTCACAATAGCCACATGAGTGAGGAAACGGCGTCGGTGCTAATTTTAACTCTACGCATGGGCCAGTTGCATAGTATAGTTGCATGGCCCAAAGGAGATCTAAGGGTTTCCCTAAGCGGGCCTGAGTCGGATAATTTGCGTAGATCTCCTCGGGAAGCACGGTTCCTTGATACTTACACCGACACCTCGGCGGGGCTTGCAGCGGCTTGAATCAAATGTTGAAAGTTCGTGCCGACAAGCCCATGCAAAGGTTGTCGGTTTGTAGGGTGTATGCGTATGTACGCACTAATTCAGTTCAGCCGCACATCAGTCCACCTGCATCAGACCGATGTCAGTGAGAGGAGTGTTGTTCAGGAGGCATGGGGCAAGGGAAGTCTGCAAACACAATTGAAACACGTAGGCTGTGCAGTGCTATCGCAACGAGCACTATTGGCAACACAGTTGTGTGCAAGCTGTCTTAGTTAGCTGACTTGCTCTGTGCAATCCAGATACCCGTCGAAGCGAACGTCGTTGTTCGTGTCCTCACAATCACTGGCCGTCGACCAAGCTGTGTCTTTGCTGTCGAAGGGACACCGACCATCAAAAGGGTCAGTGTAGCCTCAGTAAGGCCAAGCGTCGGTGACATGCATCAGGAACAAGGGGCATCATGTGGACCCTTATGCTGCAGCCCAGATGCAATCTGGCGTAGATAAACACGTGTCATAGCTGTAAAACATATCAATAAATCCGTCGAACAAACCTCAGGTGACAATTTGAACGCTGTCATGCCGCACCTTCGAAAGTTAAAGCCGCTAACAACGCATAACGTGTGGCCAATCGGAAGTGAACTTCACCTGCTTTCCACACCCTGGGAATGGCCTGTTAGCATGAGCTGCCTCCATCCTCTGTCATGTCAACCTTCAAGTTCCAGCGGGGCAGAAGCAGGGGACCCTGCCCCACACAGGGGTGCAGACGCGAATAAGCTCGCTGGAACGGTGCTGCATGTCACTTCGTGACTGGTGCAGGTATTGTTGCACGGCGAAGGTGCTCGACGAAAGTGCTGGTTATACTGTACTCGAAACCATTGACAGAAATAGACAGATGACCTCACGTTGCACAGTCGAGTTGTGAGAGGTGTACGTGTCTAAAGTCCCAGACTCGTTGTCTGAGCTCTAGACTCTAAGCCACACAATCCGTTCCTACCGTCCAGGTCTCGAGGTACTGCTAGATTTGCAGGCAGACTGCACAGCTTGAGAGAGTAAACCGTGTGCCCCACACACAGTGTGACTCAACAACACTCACAAGTTGTGCATGCTAAACCATGGACAGCAGCCGAACGTGTCGAGACTTTCACCTACAAGCTGTAGAAAGAAACACGTCACGAATGATGATTTGCAGCCGGGATTCGTGTTCTTAGCTTGCTGGAGCACTCCCGGGATACATAGCCTCGCCAGCGTCAATTTGCATGCACAGCTCATTCTGCGAGCATCGAAAAGTCGGAAAGTCCTAAACGGAAGCCGAGCAACACCAAGGCAGCTGGCACCAGTTGAAATCTGAGTGACACCAGTCCTCAGATGCGCGAAATGCATGTACACAGCTGAGACATGTATGCATGTGTGTGTGTGTGTATATATATATATATGTGTGTGTGTGTATGTGTGTGTGTGTCTTTCTGTTTGTTGTCTGAACGCTATACATTTTGCAGACACGTGTACAGACAGACGGACAAACAGAACGAGTTTTTTGGGGTGGTTGAGACCGGACATGCATGGAAGCCTGCATACTAGTAGAAAGAGTCTGAAAGCACTTCCTTCAGGCCAGCGTTTTGAGAGTCTTTGGTCCATAAACTTATAGCTCAATGTAGGCAAGGGGCATACTCTGACAGAATGATGACAGCGGGGACCATGAAGATTCTTCAGCTCACATGCTACACACCTATCAGCACCGATGGTTACACAGTGCATACTGTGAAGGCAATGATTTAAGCGACGTGTGAACGCCCAGGAATGAAGGACAATACGTTGTGAGTTTCGGATGAGGATTATGCAGAAACCCCTGTCCAATAAGGTAAGTACTTGTTGCTTAGGAAAAGTAGGTGATTTGCAGTCATCGGAGTATGGATAGCAACGATTTGGAAGTGTGGTGAAGGCTTATATAGTTTTCGGATCCACCGAGGTCACACAGCGGTGTGGCTACGAGTTGTATTTGCACTGCCCTTTGCGCATTCGTTGTGTTCGATACTCAGGATGTATAAGCATGATCGCAGTAGTGGTGCTAACGGAATATTTCGGCTAAGTGGAGGTCATACGAACTACATTAAATGCTAACGTGCTGCGTCAGCATATGCGGGTCACTATTTCCTGCGCCTCCAAACCACACCATGCTCACCCCTCCCCTGGCAACCAATGCGGACTGATCGATTAGGCTGTAACATCGGTTGGGGGTACTGCGAATGCAGAATGCGGGCAAAGGAAAGAGACGCAAACATGTAGCAGTGTTGAAAATTCGTTGTGGCGATTCGTGCTTGTGGGACGTCTGGGCGACAGTGACAATGCAGGGGATGAGTCACATGAGGATGGTTTGTTTGAAAGGGCACCTCGAGGATGCCAACCTGGTAATTAAAAGCCCTTGCCGATGTACATGTAAAGGAGCTTTGGATGGGTAACCATAAAGGAGCTGCATGCGTGTGTGCCCGCTTGTTCACCAAGAGACAACAGCATCTCCAGTTGTGATCTCATGCGTCGTCTTGGGGTCTTTGATGCGGTGTTGAGCCCATACCGAAATTCTCAGCACGAAGCCCCAAGGCCCCAAGCCCGGGGAAAAGAGCCGAGTGGCGGCATCGCGAGGACAGTGCTCTGCCAGGGGAGTTTCCGGCATTTGATCCCATGCTGCACAGGTTGTACCGTAAATTCCAATTCCTGTCCTCAGATATGCATCTTTTTATGGACATTTCCGTAGAAAAAACAGTCCTTGCTTCTGAGCGTCAGGTTAGCATAGAGTCCTGTGGCAAGCAACAAAAGCCGGCGCTACCCACTCCCCGGTGAAGTGTTGGCCAGAACCGGTCAGCGCATGACGCATGAGCTTGTGATGATGCTGTTCTTCTGCTGTTCCAGCTTCATGCGCCAGACTTATTGCGTCGAGTGGCCACGCTGGTGAAGCGGAAAGTTCTCGTAGATGTAGCTCGGGAGCCTTGAACGTCTTCAATCTTTGCTCAGGCTTTGCATGGACGCATGTGGGCGTGGCTGTCGAAATTCACTACCGTACGAGGAGCAAATCCCCTTGATAGACGCATTCGCATCCACTGCCTTTGTGAATTTTGTATGACCTGAGAGCGTGCTGGTTTTGGTGAAAATAATTACTGAGCACATGATTCTCGCACTTGTTTAAGTGCTTCTAGTACTCCTGAGGGCCGAGGCTTCGTCCCATACGGATCATACGGGCAACGAGGGTTTGCGAAGTCGTGGTAGCAGTCCGGCGCATTCCCGCATGCATCGTAGCCTCAAGACACGGCAGGGCTGGCATGACGAGAATGCAGAATGGAAATGTCGCTCTCATTGCCATTTCTTCTGCAGTTGGGCATCTGAAGTATGATGTATTTGACCCATGGAAGAGCTGCGTCCTCAGTCTTGTTGGACACGCTGAATCCACCTCAGTTCCAGGAAAGCACAGTCCGGCGGCATTGCACGTTGAGCCCCGAGACAATCAGTGGCAAGCCACGTAGCACCAAGGAAGTTGACACCAGTTGTATTCCAAGTCGGTCCAGTTCGATCCCGGCTTACAGTGTGCAGAAAGCGGCGTGTGTGGCACCTGGGTAGAAAAACGAAACGAGATGCTTGGAGTAGAGTAGAGCCTCCCACTGACTAAAGTTGGCAGCTTCACAAACGGTCCCCCTGGATGAAAGGGACCTGATCCCACGCAGCGCAGGTCGTACCGTAGACTGCCTCAGCAGGCTAGCAATGACTGCCAGCTATTCTCACATACTCACGCGATGATGGCGAAGCAAAGCGAGGCAACAGTTACAACAGTCATAAGCAACTCAGCAAAGTCTCGATGTTGCGGTAGTCCTTGAACTTACCTGGAAATTCCAAAGGGAAGTGTCGGATGAGATCTGCAGGCAGTTTGGCACCCTGGTATATGCAGTCGCAAACATCCGACCAGTTGTAGGCGCATTGTGCAGCAGTGCTCCAGCTGGAATACGTCCAATCGAAAGGACAGGCATTATCGTAAGGCAGGTCAGAACAATCTGGAGTGGACAAGCACGTGTCGTAACTGCGGTAGGCCGCTGCTGAACCACTGAACACTGTGCTGACCACTCTGCTTCGACATCCTTCGCCAACGAAACACCACGGCAGCTGGCACCAGTTGTGCTCGCTGTGGCACCAATCTGCATCACGTGGACAGTGTTCGGCCCAAGGACTTCCAGGCATTTGGTCCCATGCCGCACAGGTTGTGCCGTAGATGCTGACGTAAGTGAGGTTTGCAAATTTCCCCGGCTCGTTGCTGGGGTATGAGCTGTATACCTCAGCCGGAAGAGCCGCTCCGTGGAATGCACACTCGCAGCCATCTCCCTTGTGAACCTTGTAACTCTTGCTGCCATATGGGTCGTACGGACACCGCAGATCTTGCCCGAAATCATGATAGCAATCCGGCGCATTGCCGCAGGAATCATAGCTGTAGTAGAGCATCGATCCATTAAACACCCGAGTTGGAATCCTCGA